CACCCCCACACACACACACACACACACACACACATGCACACACACACACACACACACACACACACACACACACACACACACACACACAGGCCCTGATATCCATCACGGCCTCACGCTCTTGTGCTCCTGTACATCCAGGGTTGCACACAGTTAACCTACTGTCGCATCCATACCTCCCTACTGTTCACAAAGGCCATTTCCTGCGTTTGAACTCACATCGTAATGTTTCTAGGCCTTTGATTCATCATCCCGCGCCCCGTGCATCTGCAGGTTGAGAGTTTTGACATCTGGTCTACCCACACAAGTGTCTTGTCTCTCGTGAGATCTACCTTTGGACATTCAGTGCATGTGCAGGACTCAATCCAACCTTTCTTCCACTAAAAACAGACACCCCGCATGTGAATGCCAACTCAGTCTCTCATTCAAACGACCGGGTCAATCCATGTCCGGTTAAAAATGTGACATCGACAGACCACTACTCTAAACTTACAACGCAGTCGCGCAGCTCTCTTCCGACCATTTGATTCCGACCAGCAGTCCGCAGTAACAGAAGTCTCAAAACTTCCCACTGGCCAGATACACGCAAATCAGGCTCAGAAAGACGACGTAGAGCGAGAGATCTCTTCTTCTCATCGGATTTGCGACAAATGGGGTTGCTCAACTCCTCACTGCTGCCTCTGCATTACATGGATTCATTTCGATCCCCCTGAAACCTTCTCCATTGCTGAAAAACTGCTACTCAACTTCCCAGTGCCGCCGGAGCAGTGCCGGTGCTATGTTTGAACTTTGAAGTTAATTTGATATCTCTGAAACCTTCTTGATCGCTGAAAAACTACCCCTCCAAAAAGACGACAACCGTGCCAAACTGCCACTACCATTATTTTTGCTCAAGAACTGCACACCACCGCAGAAGTTTACCATTAAGATTGTCATCGTCATCATTACTTCGCTGAAACCACTAATGTTGAGGACTCGGAGGAGGCCTTTTTCTTCCCAGTAGGCTGTAGCTGAGCCTGAGGTCATCATTCCCCCCCCATATCGAAGGATTTGAAGCCCTAGCTGGACTGCAGGCGAGGCTCACCACATGGACTGCAGGATAGACTCACAGCATGCAAGTCAAGTCCCCAGTGCTTATAGATTAAGTCTCGTTCATTTTCAGCGGGATCGCCAGATGACCACAGGTTGCACGCAACTGCCAACCAGCCTTTTTTTTTTTTTTTTTTTTTTTTTGTTTAAGCTAACTGCCAACCAGTTTAGCCCCACCCTCCAACAGTCAATCAGCACAGGGATAGAGCGCACAACAGCTTGACAGCTGGTTCGCTTGCAGCACTACCGTCTTCGCCCAAATAGAACACCGGGTCATTGTATTTGTATTTGGGGCAACATTCAGTATCGACTCTCGGTACAATTATTATGACCGGGCGTTCTATTCGGGTGAAACCGGAAGCCATGCTTATTTTAACTAGCCCGCTGTTGCTGAAGTTTTGCAGAGAGATCAATCGGATCTCCCACACCTAACAACTAGCCTTAAACTCACCTTACCAAGAGAGAATGGTGGGGGGGGAGGGGGGGAGGGAGAGGAGCAGCGATCAACCATCAAAACTGGCACTACGGCTGAATCAAAAGAACAGAGGAATCAAACATCCAAATCACACCATGGTTAAATTGAAAGAACAAACGCCTGTGTCTGTTGTTGTGAATCCCCACAGAGGATGACAGCCAGAGTCACCAAGGCAATGACTGCAGTTCTCCTTCCTCAGAAGATTCACACACGCAATGGTTCTCTCCACTGCTGCAGGCACCCAGTGCTACTACTACTCCTTTCACATCCTTCTCCCCCTCCTCTGTTGGCATCACACCACCACCATCAAGCACTTCGCTCCAATTCATCCATTAATTCTACTTCGACCAATTCACCCAGCTGACGAATCACTTGCAGCCAGGTGGACTCCGAGCGAAGACCTTCACCAGTAAACATCTTCACTATGGTTGATGTTCGAATTGTGACGCACGACGAGTCAATGCACGGCTACCAGTCGCACACCTTGTCAGCTGTTTCACGCTCTTCGTTTCAACTTCCAACTCCTTTCCTATTTCCACAGGAGTGGAAAGCATCTTCCCGATTCCCGACCACGTTGCAGCTGCTTCCGCACTGCAGTTCCGCCCGTCCCTTTTCCGTTCCCCTATCGGCATCCTGTGGGGACCAGTGGGAACATGCCGTCCAGCAGCGTTGCAGGCTCAGGACACTTTCAAACCATTCACAAACTGCTTCCAGCCCAGACCTCGTTCGTCAGCTTCCCTACACGTCTAATCGCATCCGTCTACCATGCTTACACCTACACAGCTCACTATCCGACTGTGTGCGAGCTCCTCCTGTACTACACCCCAATGTGTGCACCTTCCCCTCCCCCCCCCTGGCTCCACACACACATCTATTTATGCCTCCTGAACTATTTTGCCGATGGCACAAGGCGGTGAGGAGCAGAGAGAAGGCTCATTGCAAAGTTTCGCCTGAGGGTGCAATCTCACAGCAGCATCAACATCAGTAGAGGGAATCTGGTTATCTCCGCTGCGAACGTCAAGCCATGCTAAAATGTCGGCCAATACTTTCTCAACAACATCATCTGGTTCCCCAGATAGAAGGCAATGCCACGAGTCCTTGTAAATCTTGATCGCCTTGTCCTTACTCTTTGCCTCGTCAAACAGCTGAGTGCTGCATTCCGCATTCGTAATCACATCATCGCTGCCATGCAGCACGATGAATGGCAATGTGACGTCCTTCATACGCTCTTCAATGTGAAAGGTAATGTTGAACAACTCCAGCGCTGTCCGCAGGCGTGGGTACCCTTTAAAGCCAAGTGGGTTATTCTCCCCATTACGACGCTTCTCCGGAACACGATATGCCACGTCAGAAAGCTTCCTTTGAGGGACTGCTTTCCAGGTAGGGAAGACTTGTGCGAGCCGCTTGAGAACCTCGATCACCACCTTTGGCGGTTGTACTTCCTCCGCAATCTTGCACATCGGCGACAACAGGACTGCTCCATCCCAAGCGTCCGGCCTCTTGAAGTGAGCAACAAGGCACACAGCTCCCCCCATTGACTCGCCAAAAAGGAAACACTTCTTCCCATAGAACTCAGCTCTTTGTTTAATGTCCAAAAACATTTCGATACAGTCATCCACAAGCGTGTGAAAACTAGGGATGTACGCATGCAGCCCCTCCGACAAACCATGGCCTTCATAATCAATGCCAAAAGCTGCATATCCCTCTCGGGCCAGACGCACTCCCAACTCATCAAAGAAGTACACGCATGTGTCGCCATAACCGTGGCAGAGAAAGATAAGTGCTTTTGCTTCCCGTTGAAGCGGAAGCCACTCCTTCTGAAAGATCTCGACACCGCGCGAGACTTTCCTGAAGACCTCGTTGACTTTCACTCCACGATCTTTGTAATACTCGTCATCCTTCTTGAAATGCGCAAAACGCGACCTCCTTGCTGTCTCCCAGTCCAAATCTCCATAGGGAGACTGATTAAGCAGCATTTTGACGATCACGGCCCCTTCATTCAGAAACGTCTTCATGCCGTCTGTGGTGTACAGACACACGACCGTAAACCAAAGGAAGGAAGTCAACCAGAAAAGTCAATGATGGAAACCGACCAGTCTGACCCTCTACGCGACCAAAGGAACAAGAGTGGTTTGACACTGTGTGATAGATAAAAGGACCACACCATCGCTGCGGAAACGAAAAGAGTGCAGACGAGGAGAGATCACAAGGTTGGCAGAGTAGAACGGGGGAGCAACGTAGCAAGCATTCCCAAGCAGACCAAACAGGGTACATAAAAGAATGTCTTTACTACTGAAAGTTCCTTGGACAAATACCATGCACTCTATGCTGGGAGAGGAGGAGTAGGCGAACCTATCGAAGCAGCATCTGTGGAGGAGGAAACTATCGGCATACACCCAGCCATGCACATCCAACAGATGTAATGAATGCAAAATGTGGAAAAGGCCCTTGAGAGCTGATAGCCAAGTGAAGGAGGGAGAATCTGTCAAGAGCTGCGTATGTCGAGGAGGAGCCCATCGAAGTGCATCCAGCCATCATCAACATCCCAAAGCTGTGAGTGAACATACAATGTAATAAAGCTTGGAAAACCCCATCAAGAGCGGCCACAAAGGCGGAGGAGGGGAAACCTATCACAGAAGCGCATCTGGAGGAGCCTATCAAAACAAACCGAGCAGCGAACGCATCCAACGGGAGTAAATGAACACAACATATAATGCAGCTCAGAAAAACCCGTCACGAGTGGCTAGTCAGGGAGAAGTGGGGGAATTTAGCAAAGCAGCCAATGCAGCCATGCCATCCAACACATAATTGAGAACAACACAATGTGCTGGACTGTAGAACGCCCTCAGTAGAAGCTAGCTACCCAATAAGAGTCGGGGCAAACTTGAGCCCACGCTCGCTGAGTGGGCCAGGGAAGACCTATGCTGGAGAGCAATCCGCATCCTAACCTGCAACCATCTGATTGTGGGACCGGCAATTCAGCCACCGCTGTGTATGACTGGTATTGCCATTGCACCTTGGATATGCTTCTCCGAAGCAATAGGCATCACGCCGATGATCACGGCAATATCCATCCATCGCTCAACCTCTTCCCCACTGTCACATAGGTTGGAGATCTCAGCATCCGCGTTCTCAAACTGTGCCTTGCTCTTTGCGGTTATTGCATCAGATCCAGACAGTTCCGACAAAGCAAGATCGGTTTCCCCCCTGGCAAATCCGGAGATGTAAAGCCTCCTGGCGAAGACCTACCCAATCATTGCCTCCACAAATGTGCAATGCCCTTCTTGTCTATCTTTTTAAACCCTAGTCACTCACCTGACACAGTTTTTCTTCTCAACGGCTTTGGCTTCCGCCAAAACTACACCATCGCCAAAATCTGTGGATTGACAATGAATGCGTACATTGATGCATAAACTGGATCAATGGGCACCTACTAAGACTACTGCACTCTCTTAACTTGCTTCGCACCACACGTTCCCACCTTGCCTGACGTCTGAACCACAGCCAAAGCTGAAAGCCATATCACCACCACGTCACCGATGCTGTTAATCGAATCATGTGAACTGAAATGCCGAATTGGTCAGTGCAATTCGCCTCTTGAAACTATGTACTGGAATCCAGATGTGTATGTCAGACCAGATTCACAGCAAGATGATTGCCACAGCACCTACCCATGAACAGCATCACCAGCCTCATAGACATCTCAAGAAAATGCCATTTACACAACGACTACTACCGTCAGTAGCCATCTGCTCACTCCAGAGCATTCCCCATAGGTGCTCCGTGATCACAACCAAGCAACCCGGCGTACATGTCAAAGTCCTGAACCTGGGAGTGCACATTCACAAAGAGACACTCGACCAATAGAAAACCAGTGGACAACTAAAAACTCCGTGCCATGCGTGCATCGAAAACTTGTACTATTCCGTTGTTACATGCATCTGGTCAGTCTGAAAGCATCTGGGACATCGTGAAATCATTCCTTTGTTATGACCTGTGGAAGGAAGTATGGAGTGTAAGGGCCTCACGACAAAACTTGCCACTCGCCCACCATCTGAACGTGTGTGAACCAGGCAGTGGTCCGAATATGTTCAGTGGTGGTGTGACAAGGCCCTGAAGATGATCGATAAGGAAGAGGTAAGCCACCAGTCCGTCCAAGCCTCTTTCTCCGATGTGCTGTTCCGCTCGACCCTAAAAACAACAAAACGATTGTGGGCACAATGTTGTCAGGCACCGCCAGCTTTTTCCCTCCGGTAGGCCCGAGCCACAAGTTCGCACTGCTTTAACTTACACGTCAGAACAAACTACCTGCGAAACGGACTGGTGGTTAAAACCACCACTACGGCCAAACCTCTTTTCTCGGACACAGATTTTCTGCTGCGTGCCAAGTATTGGCACACCGGCGCGAGCACAAAACCGATCTTTTTGCATGGCACCCCCAGCATTTCCCGTTCGGTAGGCTGACCCCCGAAGGACGTGGCATATTAACAACCATGTCGGAAAAAAATAGCTGGGAAACGCACCAGTGCATGTGCTACACGCCATACATCAGCCGCAGGCCTCTTCCAAGGCCTAAATGCAACAAAGGCCACCGATGTAATTTATCAACGGCAGCCTGGCCCTGACTTTTTCAGACGGGCAACGTCCTTTTCAGCAAGGCGGGGGCCGTGTACTGGGGCAACCACCATCCGCACAATGCACCACCATAGTCACGTCACCCGGCCACCACACAGAGTGAACTCCAAAGTCATCTTGCAGTCCCACTTCTTCTTCTTCGTCTTCGCCGTCTTCGTATTCTTCGTCATAGTCGTATTCTTCTTCTTCTTCGTATTCTTCGTATTCTTTGTCATAGTAGTCGTATTCTTCTTCTTCTTCTTCGTATTCTTTGTCATAGTCATCGTATTCTTCTTCTTCTTCTTCGTATTCTTCGTCATAGTCATCGTATTCTTCTTCTTCTTCTTCTTCTTCTTCTTCTTCTTCTTCTTCTTCTTAGTCGTCGTCGTCGTCGTCGTCGTCGTCGTCTTCGTATTCTTCTTCCTCTTCTTCTTCTTCGTCTTCATATTCTTCTTCTTCTTCTTCTTCTTCTTCTTCTTCTTCTTCTTCTTCGTCTTCTTCTTCTTCTTCTTTCTCCATGTCAACAATTCCAAGCAAGCTGCCCAATCATCCCCCAATGAATGGAAACCCCCCTCACCCAGCCATGCCGTCCCCCCTTCCCCCATTATGCCACCACCCAGTCTCCCAAATACATAGAACCATTCGCCTCGTCAATCAGGCCCCCGTGTTGTGCCACCACCCCCTTCCCCCATGAATCAAAACCTCCTCCCTGCCCCCCCAATTTCTGGACCCTTAACAAGTAATAACGACTGCACTAAGCCGCTGCTCACCACACACGCAGGTACTTCACTACCTGCATGTCTCTACAAACTGCAATTGCCAGCTCCGAGCAACCCCGTAGTACGGGACCCAAGCAACCGCCTGCCTTCCTGAGAGAAGGGGACCAGAGGCATGTTGCGTGACATGCCAGCAAAGAAGCAGGCTGACATTAGCAGTTATTCAAGCGTTCAAGCGTGACATGTCAAGGCCACATTGGCATCTGTCTCTTATACACATCTAGATGTGTATAAGAGACAGGAGAGAGAGATTGGGTATTGCATACATAGAAACTATTAGAATTGTAGAATAGTCGATAAACGCTGCTCAAGCATCAGAGTACAAGAGAAATCAGTAGGTTTTGTAGTCAACGGTTCCCAGTAGTCTACCATATATTTATGTAATAGTAAGGATTCGGCAATCAGGATGTCACATATCTGAGTCTTTTTGTAATACAAATCTAAATTTGATATACCCATATAAGACTTAGCATTCACTGTTTCGTACATCGCATTTGTGTTCCTACCGTCTTTCACCCGCATAGAGCGCCGGGTGATTATAGATAGCTGTACTTGGGCCAACTTCCACTCTAAATACAGCAATAATGACCGGGCGTTCTATTCAGGTGAAGACGGTAGTACTACGTCCCAAGTCCACAACCATTCAGCAGTAGCACAATTTACGCTTCGTACTTATTACCTCCCATTTCTGTGCTTATTACTTGATCTCCGCAAACTAGCACGCGATGCTCAGTACTTACTACCTTAGTATGTCACATCGACATGCGCTGCAACGCGCACGTGCGCCGCACCGCGCATAGCGCACAACAACGCATCGAATGTGGTGCATTAAGAAATAGGGGGGTCTCCCAAAAAAATTGAAAGTTGGGGGGGCGGGTTGGAAGGCCGGTAGGCACTTCGCGCCGCCGGTCAGCCAAATTTTTTTTTTTTTTTTGAGGCCGCGAGGGGCCGCGCAAAAACAAAAGGGCGGGGAGATCCGAGTGGTTCATTTTTGAACTACTCGGCCCTGCCCCACGCCAGCCCCACCCGGGCAGTCAACCTCAGCCCTGCCCCGCGCCGTGTGCCCCCTCGCCGCTGTCGTCGTCGTCTTCTCGTGTGTCTCGGACCAGGAAGCAGCCCCCCACGTCATCGTTCAGCCATACCCTGCGCAGCTTCTAACAGTAGGAGGCAGCGAAGAGCCGAGGGTCGCAGCAGCGGGAGGAGGCGAAGGAAGCAGCCGTGTCCAGGTGGGTTACCACCAGCCTCTCTCTCTCTCTCTCTCTCTCTCTCTCTCTCTCTCTCTCTCTCTCTCTCTCCCCCTGTGGAAACTGCGCAGCTCCTCGTCCTCATTATCCTCCTCTTGGCGGGCTTTCTTTTGCGTCCACGTGGCACTTTCTTCTCCTCCTCACCCTTCTTCCATCCTTCGTCATCGTTTTCCTACTCCCCCGCTTATCATACC